AAAAACCCCGCCTGTATTATAGATGATATTGATCGCGAAAGCGTACCACGTGTTAAACTGAGAGACAGTTTTATTCCACGCATCCCATCCGCCACGCGGCCTTCCGCTCGGAGGAACGCGTCATTTAAGCAATCCAGCTTTGAACGGCTATCGACATCCAGTGTCCCATCAGTAAGCCAGTTTTTAGTGTGCGCGTTTGCGTGTTTATCTGTCGCGCGCAGAAACGGGATGTGTGTGAGTGCGGCGAGAGGTGTCCGTTGATGCATTGCCGCACGAATTCTCCGTAACGAGACGAACCCAGAGTGGTGGAGTTTTTGCAGCTGCGCGCGATCGAATTATTGCCGTCGTAACATCGCATTTTATAGCTTTATTCTGGTGATTTCGAAAATATATGGTTAAGCCATGTTTCTTACGGAAGTGCGGAGTTGGCCTGATAATTTTAATCTAAATTGTCTTATGGTTTCGATTTAAAGCTTTCGTGACTGCAGGGATTCATCTCTTGGTTCTTTCGGTAAAGTCACGTAGAATGGAAATAATAAAGTAATAAAAATAAAACATAATATAAAATAATTAATAAAATAATAGAAAATACAACATTATAAAATAATTATTTTATTACGCTTTCTTTTTATTATTTTATTATTTCCATTCTACGTGACTTTACCGAAAGAACCAAGAAGATGTCTTATGGTTGTTATTGCTTGACTTGCATCACACTGGGATTTTTGCACACAGTTTTGTAAGACGGTGTTTTTTTTCTGGAAAATTTGCTGGTTTATCCAGGATGTTTCTGTTGCGCGTCGTCGCTTTAAGATGTTCTCTGTTCATATTTTGTTTGTTGCGGTTGCACCCGACTCAAGAGCCGCATGGCTCACAGGGCTATACCTCCAAAATGAAACTTGAATGGGGGCCACATCGTGAACAGTGAGGAGGAGCTCCCTTTCCAATAAACACCTCGCAGTTCGTAAGCATCACCGACTGACTCTGGATCAGCGAGTAACGGCGAAGTGATTCTGAATTGGTGACACGCCATGAAGAATCGACGCGACACGGTGATCGTGTTGATGATGACAGCGATGGTGATGACGATGATGATGACGGTGGTGACGAAGATCAGAGTCATGATAATGATGATGGAGGTTATGATGACCATTGCGATGATGATCATGGCGAAAATTGCCCATGATTAAGCACGGTTATGTTGATGGTGATGAGGGAGTTGATCATGGCAACGATGAAGATCATCATGACGGTGATTTAAACGACACACTTACGATTACAGTGCTTAAACACTCGAGCATTCTCGTCAATGCTCTCGTTCATGCTTCAACAAGTGGTAGGGAGGAGACGAGGGGGTTGAGGCTGGGTGGGGTGGGTGGGATAGTGGGGGCAGGGAAGACTTTCTACTTGAATTTATTTGCCTCCTCTTCCAAAAGCCACTCGCCGTCTTTGAAGCGACGTTGCCATGCTTTCAAGCTGCCTCCTACCAACGCAACCCAACCCCCACCCGTCCCCCCATCTCTCTCTCTTCTCTCCCTCCCTCTCTCCAACTCTTTCTCGGGCAGAAGGGTGAGGGTGGAAGGTGAGAGAGAGAGAGAAGAGCCCTAGGCTTCTCTTTCATGTCCTATTGCTCCCACATGTGCCCCCTCCGTCTTGAACACACAAAGACAAAGATCGCCCCACCCCCCCCCCCAGTATAGCCTTTAAGAGACTGTGGGGGCAAGTGCTGTTAGCGAGCACCTATGAAGACCGCCACGGCGCAACGAGGGGGGTGGATGGATGGCCAACACTTCGCCCCAGGCCATTTTGGTCTCCCCAGCGCGGCTGTTTATACACCGACACCCGGCATTCGTTTTAAAGGCCGCTCTCGATCTCACGGGGGGGGGTGGGGGCTTCAGGACCGGTTCAGATAATCATCTCTGATGTTAGCCGCGAGTGAGAATCGTACGCGGGGGTCGCCTGGTTCGTAGCGCAGTGCGCTAACCGCCTGTGCCACCGCTCCTCGGCGAGCACGTGGCCTCGTCTGCCACGACTCGATGATTACCACTGGTCAACACTATTTTTCTTGCACAAGGTATTCCACGGTTTTAATGTAATTTTGGGGTGCTGATTCCAAATCCGGCATCAGTTTTTGTCAGGTTTTTGAGATATCAAATATTGCATTTTCAATAAAACTGCAGAAGAAAAATATTCAATAAATGTGGATAGCTACATAAAATGATATTATAAACACACGATCCTAAAAATACAGCACCATATTTTAACACTAAAGCAGGGTCACAGACTCGCAACAACTTGCAATCATAAGTGACGGAGTTATTTCGGGTAAAATCAATGAAAATGGGGTATGCCGACAGCATAAAAAGTTAGATGTGATAGATCAAATCTGAGATCAGATTTGGAATCAGCACCCTGAAATTAGTCGAAAAACAGCTGCAAAAGTCCAGGCCAGAAAAAAAAAATATTTTTTTGTTGACCAGTGTAATATTTTTTTTGTGACCAGTGATATCGTTCAGCCTTCGTGTATTGTGCAAACTTTGCTTCGAACTATGGGAGGACGATCCACGTGTGACGGAGAGGGTCGTTGCCTATGAACGTCTGGCGGTTCACCAGCGTTCATGGGCTTCGATCGTCCGCACAAATCATGGCAACAGCTGCTGGTACGTGATCATGATGATGAAGATGATGATGAAGACGATGATGATGATGATGATGTACACATGGAAACTATGAATCTCTCCGCGCGGTGTGCGGAGACTGTGGTCACAGCCCAAGAACGGAACCACGGAAACTTGTAGCGACCGACTCAATGCCCCCCCGGTTCAAAAATGCCAAGCAGAAGGAGGCATCATCAC